GGTTCACACCCTGGCAGAGGAAGGTAATGCTCCTGCCCACGAGGTCCCTGCTGCTAAGTGGGTGCCTGGATGCGAAGGGCCCTGTGACTAGGCCTGGGGACACAGATTTCCAATCCAAGCATGTGGGCTCTCTGGCTCTCACAGCTTCTGAAGGGACAGACATGTACACAAAGAATGACAATGCTGTATGGTCACACCAACTCTTGGTGTGCTCCCATAAGCACAGTGTGACAGGCTGGACTCAGCAAGGTGATGGCACACAGTAGGGCCACACAAATGCTGGTTTAGCCTGGCTTACCCTTTTCCCACTCCAGGAATGATCACTCAAGTGTGAAGTGACCTTAACAAATGTGCCCTCTCCAGCCCTCTGCTTCCAGACCCTTGGAGGGGCCCTCGGAGCACCTGGCACACACCCTCTAGAGGCACAGAACACATTGCGGGGCCGAGGGACTCCAGCCCTGCCTCCAGCCCTTCTCTAAGCCAGTTATAAGATCAGGAATGCTTGTCGACTCATATGTACATATTTCTCAGAAATTTTGAGTCAAGGAAAAAAATGGTTGAAAGCCTATCGTCTAAATTAAGCCACCTGCAAAGCCTTAAATCAACATGGAGTGAGAGGTCACGTATTTGGTGCACACACGTGTTAAACCATTTACAAAATGACTAATGCGAGTGCCATGACCAGAGCTCCCCTTTTGCCCAGGCCAGCCCTCCCGCTCTCCATATGGATAATCTTCCCATGGCCCATGTGGCCTGGCCACAGCCCTGCGACACCATTCGTGCCATTGGTGCAGAAGCAGGTAGGGGGCTCTGCTCTCAGGATGTTTATCTGCATCTAGGGAGAAGAGTCACACAGGAATTGAAAATGCACCTGTCTAAATGCTGGGAGGAGAGGGAACATGAGTGCAAGGCCTTCTGCAAAAGGGGTGGGACCTGGCCAGGAAAGACGGAGCAGACCCCCAGAGTGATGCCAGCACCTGCTAGGAGTAGAGGGTGGGGCAGGTGGCCAAGGGGGAGCACCTGCAAAGGCACTGAGGAGGGTGATGGAGGCTGCGTGGGGAACCTTCAGGAGAAGCTTCCTGGTGGGCTGTCAGAGAGAGCACAGATCTGAAGAGAAGGGCAGATATTCCTGTGAAGCCCCAACCTGGGTTGACGTGGGTTTCAGATTTCTGATCACCCCTTTCTGAGGTCTGCTCTGTCCTGGGCATCTTTTCTTTGCAATCAGACAAGCCCATCTCACTCATCCTGCCCCGCCCCCACCAACGTCTCTTTTTTTCTTCGGCTGGTTCCGATGATTAACCCCATGAACTGTAACATGTTTTGACAATTTCTGAATGAGATAATGGTGCAGGAGATTCTTCCTTCATCCGTTCTAAACGGAAACTCAGAATATAAAAGGAAAACGTGAAGCTGCTTGGGCTGTACTGAGGTTGGGGGCCCAGGTCCTGTCCTCCAGATCCTGTGTCTGTCCCATTTCCCACCCACGCTCCAGCCCCTGAGGGGCTTCCAGCCTGAAACCCAGGGGCAGCAAGAGGAGGGCTGAATTAAGGGCCGGAATTGAACTCTGTGAACAATCCCCTTTCCCCTTTCTGTAAAATAAGCAATTGGTTCTGACGAGCTCTAAAATCCCTTCTAGAGTAGAACTGTTATCAGTCTTTGAAATGCCAAATCAAAATACAGGATGTAAACACTCATTTTTACAATTGACCGGAGACTAATTAGGAATCTTTAAAAGGAATACAACATTGGCTTTGTCCTTTCTGCTATATTCTGTCTTCCCTGAGAGGGTAAGTCATCATTTTTGAGTTAATTAATGCACTGGCAACTTTGCTATTCGTTTTTTTTTTTCAGCAAGTCTTTTCATTTTTATTACTCAAAAGACTTTCACTTTTTATTTAGCTTTCTGACTCTGTACTTGCGCCTTCAACACTTCCACAGCGATTTTCTGCTCCTCGATAAGGAAAGCACGCTTGATCGTGCCACGAACACATTTAGCACACATGGAACCACCATAGACCCTGCTGACATGTTTCTTTGTTTTGGACAATCTCATAAGAACTTTAGGTCTTACAGCACAAACCCCTCGACGGCTGCCTGGGCACACACCACATGCTGATTTTGGTGTTTTCCCAACCTTCTTGGTATAAAGGTAAACAATTCTATTACCAGCGTTCTGGGAGAGCCTAGTTTTGTTAGAGGCGGTATTGTAGGAAAGCCTACGTCGGTATGTCAAATGCTGGACCATTCTGAGTGCCTGCACACGACGTCCCTGGAAGAGGAAGAACTTTGCTATTCTCTTAAGGCATGAACAACCTTTTTGAACTAAAAAGTTATTACTGTAGGATTTTTTGCAAATGTGAAAAAACACACTTACTTTGTCTTTAGCAGAAGCCTAATATAAATTCATGATTTAATTCTCTTCTAAATGAATAGCCACAGAGCCTAAGTAAGGGATATTAACCCTTCTATTGTCCTCCACCCAAGTTATATAATCCCATGGTTCAGATGTCATTACATATCTCTGAATGAGCTTTGGTAAATTCTCCAGCTCAAGTGTAAAGAAGAAAATGCTAACTTAGGGCTACTAGTTCCTCATGCTGAACGCCATATTCTCAGCTTGGTACTAGTTTTTCTTTTACAGAGTCACCAAAGAAAATTCCATCACTAAATATAAATATCTTCCAAATGATTTTGGAATGGATTCATTTTTATTGTTTTATTAAATGCAAATTAAAGATATCGTGTCCTATGATAATATTGTTTTTTTTTATGGTTCATTAAGAAAGGAGATTTCTCAAGAGCCAGTTTGACCAAATTTATATGGCCCAGAGAAAATGTTTCAAAGAAAGAAAAGCTACCTCACTAGCCCACACTGTTGCCTGTGGTTTCCACAGCCCACTCACAGCCAACAAGCAATGCGGCACTTCATCTCAACCTGTGCTTTGTTCTCTACATTCTAGGCGCTTGGAAGAAAGGGAAAAATAAGGTAAAGTGCTTCTAATCTAGTGATACAAACTGACATAAAGCATTTCAACAATTTTTGGGGGGCAGGTGCGGTGGCTCACGCCTGTAATCCCAGCACTTTGGGAGGCCGAGGTGGGTGGATCATTTGAGGTGAGGGGTTTGCGATCAGCCTGGCCAACATGGTGAAACCCCATCTCTACTAAAAATACAAAAATTAGCCGGGTGTGGTGGTGCATACCTGTAATCCCAGCTACTTGTGAGGCTGAGGCAGAGAATCGCTTGAATCTGGGAGGCGGAGGCTGCAGTGAGCTATCGCACCACTGCACTCCAGCCTGGGCCACAGAGCACGACTCCATCTCAAAAATGAATGAATGAATGAATGAATATTTTTTTTGCATATCGCACAAATAATTTTGAACATCATGCACCTCTTTCCATTTTTCACTGACCTAAAAATTTCCATCACAAGTTCTGTTGGTTACAACAGAGGTACGTTTTAATTGTGTTGTAAATATTAATACCTTACAAATAAATGTTTGCCATTTAAAAAGTATAAATAAAGAAATGTGAATATCGTAGTATTTTCATGCCCAGCCTCCTCCACTTAAAAACAAGGAATCGAGTTCTTCCTTTAACAGGCAAAGCTTTAGAGCATGTCTCTTCTTCCTTGAACTTAATTTCTATTTCACTACCTCACAGAATCTCATCCTAATTAAATGTACTTTATACTTGAGATTTTTTTAAATCAATCAAGTGTCTTTGTATAAAATATGTATATAAGTTAAAGTGTAATTTTTATTTCCCCTCACCATAAGGCAGTTGTATTGAATTTCTTTAAACTGTTACACTTGTGCTAATTAATAGAAAACAGCCAACCCAAACTACATAAATGTTCTAGAAACTTTGACATTTGGTAAGCAAAAAGGTAAAATATCATTTGGAAATGCGTTTCATAAATGAGTGAGGCTTTTTCAATTAATTCCTTAAAAATGACTGGATTACTTATTGCTAGCATGAGGCAGGGTTTGACATAAATTCAAGTCATATTTTTCATCTTATAGATATAGGCACTAGGCAAAGTTTGTCATATATGAAGGTAAATTAAGGGACTTTTGTTATGTTTACATCATTCCATTAGGTTTTAAAGACTTTTCCTCTAATATATGTCAAAAATCAATTACTCTGTCATAAAAATTATGCTTAATGATTTAAAATCTGACAACTCACTTAGATCCTTTGTCAATTTGGCTGGAAAGAAGAACTGGGAAACCACATGATATTCAAAAAGATTTGCCACCAACTCATTAAAGTTATTTATCTGCTGAATCTTATACCAATATTTCCATTTGTTCTTTTGTTTGGGATTGGGAATAAGATTTGTCTATCTCAGGGAAGTGCACACCAGTGACATTCCTGATGGGTGAGGGTTATGTCTGTCTTTTATGAGGGAGCAGAAGGGCATCTGTAAAACTGGTATTGGGGAAAAAGACTTGGAATTACGCTGGTCACAGGTGAGTTCTCAGACACGTGAATTCCAGGAAAGAATGCATATGGAGGTATAACATTTGGAAGTAGATTCCCTTGGAAAATCCTGCTGTTCTCCAAGAAGAACATGTACCCCAGTTTAAGCCCACCGATATAAAAGATACATTTCAGTCAATTTAAGAGTTGAGATGGTGGGATTCATGGACAATACCACAGGAATACAGAAGCGGGGTCACTCATTCTAATTAGAGGAGACAGGAAAGCGGCCACTGAACTGTGTCTTAACAAAAGCATGATTTTGGCAGGTAGAGAAGGACAGGTGGGTCAAAAGATGGGAAGAAGCAGAGAAATGCCATTTTACATGGGAAACATCAAATACTGTTGAGTGGTCAGAATCTCCATTGTCTCTGTGGTCACACACAGGTGTGCAAACGTTCAGGAGGCACAGTTTGGAGGGGCTGGGTTTAGGATTTGCCTTTGAGATACCCTTTGCCACCAGCATTATATAGATTCTGCTCTGAGTAGGCACCCCAAACTTTGTTCCTCTCTTTTTCTCTAATTGATTCCATAGGCACAGTTTCCTCCAAGTGACGTTTGCCTGTTCATTCCTTGTCAAAATTGCAGCCTCTTTAGTTTGATGGGCACTATTTAATAACATTTTATATTAATGTACTTGTCAAAAATCCCATAGACCTGGGCTCCTCAAAGACACTGCGTGATGAAGGTAATAGTGCCCCCAGCTGACTCCAGAGCACTGCTATATACACATTTTTATATTTTCAAGAAGGCAAGATAATGAAGGGTTGAAAACCACTTATGGATCTAAAATTAGACCTGGATTCTCTTAAGAGTCAAGTCATTCTTGGTATCAGTCAGCTCCTATTTCTTTGCCATCTGAATCATAACTCTAGTCCTAGAATCCTAACATGCCCATTAGAGTCCCAGGGCAGAGAAAATTCCAAGTTACTCCACTGTAAGACAGAGCTGTGTTCCAGTTGCTGTTCTTTTAAAAACACGTAAGAAACGGCTGCTGTTTTTCTCTTCCCACCGCTTTCACCCTGTTTGTGTTAAGTGAATTCTTCCCTCTTGCAGGTAACCAATTTATCATATCTGGGTATGATATTCCCCTAACTATTCCCCTAGGACAATGCAAAGATGAGTATGTGTCCCAAGCTGGACCAGTCAAAGTTCTTCTCAGTACCTTTCCACCAGAGCTATTCAGGAAGATGGTCCAATTGGGCAGGAAAAAATGGATTGGGTGTAAGTTTTGGATAAATGGCTGCCATTTTAACCAGCACAGGGAAGAACTTATCCAGGGATAGGAGAAAAACACTGTTCTAACACAGTGTTTCAGCTCCTGAATGCAGCCATGCCCATAATAAAGATTAGTCTCTTGGAACTGCCAGTTTTGTGAGCTAAAAATCACCACAAAACCCAATTATGCATAGCTGGTCAAGACATTATTTCTGTTTCTGAGAACTGAGGAGTCCTGTCTAATAAGTGTCTAAATTTCCTTGATTTTGCACATGTAACTATGTAACATTATGGTATTTCTATTATAGAAACCTTTATTTTATATTAAATTACATATTAAACTTGACAGCTACATATATATCTTTCCCTTTCCTAGATTTATTTTCCATTATTTGAATTACACACTTGAGTATAATCTAACTCAGAAAGGTATACTCTTGAAGCTCTCTTGTGTCTGAAGGCTGGCTCCTTTTAATTCTCAGCCTTGACTGTCAGCATGGCTAAACCAAAGGAAGATTCAGATGAAAATCCTTCTTTAAGGTTGTCTTCTCAGCTCCTCTGTTTTCTAAATTTTACCTGAATGTGTCTACATGTGCATATTTTTAAAGACATATATTTAATTTCCAAGACTTTTTTGATGCTTATTTATTTTTCAGTAGTAGCCTGCTCTTGTTTTACGTATGTGATAATCTACTGAATTTTTCTGAGGCGGCGACTGAAAGTGTTTATTTTAAATTTCTGTTCTATTTTCCTAACGTAACTCTGCTTCCTTTGGAGTAAATTTCTCTGATCACTTTGTTGCCCTCTTTCATGATTAAAAACAAAATTATCTACTGATGCTTGGCTGTCTTTCCTGTGTTTGGATGAGGGTGTCAGCAATGGTATGGAATGAATTTCTTTGTCGCATGTGAGTATTGCTGTTTCCTTACTATGGATCAGAAAGCCTATTGACAACAGCCATGGGTGTGGTGCATGAACCCGGACTGGACTAAGTGAAGTTCCACAGGGACAGAGATGGACGCTTGCATTCCGGGGCAAGATTCCATTCGGATAGGGCGGTCAGCTCTTCTCTGTAGCCACAGTGCTGGCTTTGGCTGATGGTGCTTAAATCAGTTCAGCCACCTTGAAACTGAGGTTTCGTTTTATTTTAATGTGTTTTTTGCTTTTAAGCAAATAGTTAAGCAGGATTGCTTCTCTATACCACTGTCACGGGCTAGAGTAGTCTAAAATATTAAACTAGTGGCTAATTTACTACCAGATAGTATACCTCAACACTGATATTTGCAAACCACATAATGGTAGTTGGGTTTTGACCTTCTGCAGTGCTCAAATGGATAGTATTTACCTACCTCCTTATTTAATCCACATGTCCCCTGCAGCATGGATATCACTATTCCTATTTTGCAAATTATAAAAAAAGCCTCAACCAACAAATTACGTCACCTATGCCCGAGGGTGTGTTGCAGAAACACTCTGCTCAGCTTATAAAAGGGGCAAGTTGATTCAAATATCACAAAAAACCCACATGGTGGGCAAGAGTCAAATTAAGCTTCTTTAAGCAACATGTTACACGAATCTTACTGAGTATATCTGCATTTAGACTCTTCTAAGCCAAAAGATTCACTTCCATGTTCTATGGAACAAATCTTGGATCCATTTTTCTGGGAATCTCCACATACTTGAAACCATTTCTTGAGGAAAAAACATTGTTCTTTTTTACACATTTCTGGGGCCTCACCTTTGAGGGAAGTGTGGGGCAGTGGATGGTGATGCCCGCTGGCAAGAACAAAGCTTGTGTCTAGTTTTCACTGTCAAAATAGAAACTCTGTCTTCAGGTTGTCTAGCCTATTAAAATATCTGAATTTTATTTAATCAATGTCTCAGAAACTGAGGTTCAGGGACCTGCCAAGTTGCCAGGGGGACTCAATCTCAGATTGACTATGCTTTGGGTCTGGCATGAAGGAAAGGTGAGGGAGCTGCCGTCCGAGATGGGCAATCGAGGA